TTTTATTAACTAACGAGAATAAATTAATAAAGAAAACATAGATTTGGCAATTAAAATGCCATGATACTGTCCAACTCTAGCCTTGGAAACCCAATGAAGATCATAATCTGTAATCCCAAAAGAAGGGCAGATTAGTCATTTAGCTTCAATCCAACGGCACCCATCCACAGTTTTTCTGACAGAAAAAACAGAACGAACACAGAAACAGTAAGACAAAGAATTTGACTATTCTATCAAATCTCCATAATAAAAACTAAAGCTTTAGCACAGCAAAGTCCACCCATTCCATCCCTCTTTAAACTGCATTCTTACGTATGCAGACTTTGTCTTTCTAAAGAATCCAAAAATCTGAGTAAACCGATAACTTTTTTAGGCTCCTTCTCTGTCTTCTTTTTCTTTTACAGTTTCTGTTACTGTGACAATGCCCAATCTAGCCTAGAGATATAGTGTAGAGGTCCCATTCGAGAGAGAGAGAGACAAAGAGAGGAGACTAGAGAGAGAATGTGTGTGAGTTAGAGAAAGACAATGGGGTAGTAGATAGAGGATATGCAGCTGGAGTTTTTCTGTCCACAGCTGCTGATGCTGATCAAAGGCCTCCAATAGGTTTTTCATTTTTTTTTTTTTTTTGGTATGTACTTTGATCTAAATGGTTGATGAGGAATCTTGAATTTTTTTTTTTTGTCTCTTTTTTTTCTTTTGCAGTTTTTTTCAGACCCATTTGCTTAAAGTTAAATTTTTTTGGGTTCCTCTGAATCGTAGTTCTTGCTTGCTGATCAGAAGCCATCTAAGGATTTCATTCATTTGATAAGTCATTGATGTTTCTGTTTATAAAGAACCAACTTTTTCCCTCAGTTTTATCATTTTGATGTTTAAACACTTTTTGTATCTGTTGAGATCAGTTCAGATCATGATTGATTTACTTTTGTTGGAATCTTGACTGTTTGACATTTAAATTTTGAGTTCCTTATCGAATCAAATCATGGATCTTTGTCCTTATCAAAAAAGAAAAAAGAAAAAAGAAAAAAGAAAAATAGATGAGATAATAACGGGATTTTTGTTGAGTTTGTTTTTAATGCTGCATATCATGCACTGGCAATTGGTAGGGTGTTTGTGTTCTTAATCCCTATCATATTATGTTTTGTTTACTTCTATATGGATTCTAAGTACTGTAACTTTTACCTTAATACATATGGCCTTGTTTATTCATAAATATGAAGATCTATCTGATTTTTTTTTTTTTTTCCTTTTTCCAGATTAGTAATTCCTTGAGGGCGGTCTTAAGAAGCTGCTGTCACAACAGTCATTTGAGTGGTCTTAAAGTCTTTGTTGAGGAGGTATTCCTTTCTATACTCTGAAGTAGCTGGAGGGAACTCTATTCTCTTGTTTGTTCTTAGAAGTCTCTTAACCTTTCCCTTGGCTTTTCTTTTCAGGCAGGTGCGAGGGATCAGGCAAAAAGATCTCTGAAGGCTTGTTTTAGAATAGAATAATCAGGTGGTGGGAATAGAATAAATTGTTACTCTGGCCTGGATCCTTGAAGACCAGGTTTTGGCAAAGTCCAAACCAGCTGTGTATTTGCTCTTGCTCTTGGCTGGAGTCATGGCAACTTCATTACATTCTGAGTCAAGGCGCAGGTATTCTTGGTGGTGGGACAGCCATATTAGCCCAAAGAATTCAAAATGGCTTCAGGAAAATCTTACAGGTATTTATTTTCTTCTGAAGCATGACTCTGTATCATAGTATTTGGGAAACATTTTCTTCTTGTTGTATATATCTGCTTAGAACAGCGCATGTGATGCATTGATTCAGAGCATAGAGCAATTAAAGAAAAGATTTGTTCTACAGGGTAGTAGAACATTTTGATATAGAAATTTATTTTCCTATTATATTCTTCTGGTACGAAAATGTTGTTATAAGCTATGACTAGACTGTAACTGACCATTTAGCCTATTGCTTGTTTTCCCTTTTTTTTTTTTTTCTTTCTTTCTTTGTTAGTATGTAACTCTGATTATTTTCCATGTAAATGATTTGGATGATTTAAAAACAATCACAATTCTGTTCTGCATGATATACTTGCATGTCATCAGTCTGCTAACCTAATTGCACATTTTTAATAAAAGATATTAGGTTAAGACAGTTTCTGTGAGGTATAAGCTATGGAGTCCAACAATATCTATTCATTTTTCACATAAGATTGTATGTATGATTAAGTGCTTAACTGAAATGATTTTGTTTCAACAGATATGGATACTAAAGTCAAAGCAATGATCAAGCTTATTGAAGAAGATGCAGATTCTTTTGCAAGGAGGGCAGAGATGTACTATAAAAAACGTCCTGACCTTATGAAACTGGTTGAGGAGTTCTATAGAGCTTATCGTGCATTAGCAGAAAGGTACAATAATGCAACTGTGGAACTCCGTCAGGCTCATCGAACCATTGTAGAAGCCTTTCCCAACCAGGAGCCTTTAATGGCAGATGATTCACCCTCTGGCTCTTCAGGCTTTGAGGTTGGGCCTCACACACCAAAAATGCCACATCCAATTCGTGCATTTCTTGATCCAGATGATTCAGAAGAAGCCTACTCAGGAATGGGCAAAAAGGGTTTAAAGCAGTTGAATGATATGTTCAGACCTCAAATATCCATTAGCAAAGTCCTCAATGTTGGTGGAGCAGAAGACAGTGAACAAGGTTACCAAGATGGTTTATCTCAATTATCAAGTGAAATCCTGAATCTAAAGAAGAGGTTTCTTCTTGAGTCTAGTCGTGCAGGCAAAGCTGAATCAGAAGTTCTATCTCTGACGAAAATTCTTGCTAATGCTCAAGCTGAAAAAGAAGCTGTTTCTTGCCACTACGAGCAGAGTTTGAGGAAGTTATCTACCCTGGAGAGAGAACTAAATGAATCTCAAAAGGATGCTGGGAGTCTTGGTGAACGAGCCAGCCAAGCTGAAATTGAGATTAAAATATTGAAGGAGGCACTAGCCAAATTGGAAGCTGAGAGGGATGCTGCTTTTCTTAAGTACAATCAGTGTTTGGACAGAATATCTGCTCTGGAGTCAACAATCTCCCAAGCCAAAGAGGATGCAGAAGGACTCAATGATAGGGCCTATAAAGCAGAAATGGAAGTGCAAAATCTGAAGCTAGAGCTTTCTAAACTGGAGGCTGACAAGGAAACTGTTCTTTTTCAGTACAAGCAATGTCTTGAGATAATTGCTGTGTTAGAAAATAAAATCTCACTTGCTGAGGAAAATGCTAGAATGCTTAATGAGAAAAGTGAGAAAGCAGAAAGTGAAGTCAAAGCACTGAAGGAAGCTCTTGCTAAACTGAAGGAAGCGAAAGATGCTGTTGCTCTTCAGTATGAGCAGTGCTTGGAAACAATAGCCAAGATGGAGGGTGAAATTTCTCGTGCCCAAGAAGAGGAAAAACAACTAAAAAGTGAGATTGTGGAGGGTGCTGCGAAGTTGAGGAGTGTGGAAGAACAGCGTGTTCTACTTCAGATATCAAATGAATCTCTGCGGATAGAGGCGGACAATCTGGTGCAAAAAATAACAGTTAAGGATCACCAGCTTTTGGAGAAGCAAAAAGAGTTGGAGAAACTTCAGACAGTACTGCAGGAAGAACAGTCAAGATTTATGCAGGTTGAAACCACTATGCAGACATTGCAAAAGTTGCACTCTGAGTCTCAAGTGGAACAGCAAGAGCTGACATTGGAGCTTCAAAATAAGCTTCATTCGTTGAAAGAGCTGGAGACATGTAACCATGCCCTGGAAGAAGACATCCAGTGGGTGAAGGGAGAAAATAAGAGCCTCAATGAATTGAATCATGCTTCCACCATTTCAATAAATAATCTGCAAGATGAAATTTATAGCTTGAAGGAGATAAAAGAAAAGCTTGAGAAGGAAGTCTCTCTTCAGATGGATAGAAGTAATACTCTACAACAAGAGGTTAACAAATTGAAGGAGGAAATTGAGGTCTTGAACAGGGCATACCAGCATTTAATTGAGAAACTTCACTCTCTAGGTTTAAATCCTGAATGCCTTGAATCATCTGTGAAGGAATTGCAACATGAGAACTCAAAGCTGAAAGAAGAATGTGGCCAGCATAAAGGTGAGAAGGAAATCCTATATAAGAAGTTGAGGGACATGGATTCCCTTTTGGAGAATAATGCTGTTTTGAGAAGTTCACTCTCAGAATTGAATGGCAAGTTAGAAGGGTCAAGAGAGTTGGTCCAGGAATTGCAGAAATCCTGCCAGTTTCTCCAGGGAGATAAATCGACTCTTATTACTGAGAAATCCACTCTACTTTCTCAGTTACAAATTATGACCGAGAATATGCAGAAGCTCTTGGAGAAAAACAAATTGATGGAGAATTCCCTTTTTGGAGCAAATGTTGAGCTTGAAGGTTTGAGGGCAAAGTCAAAGAGCTTAGAAGAATTCTGCCAGTTACTCAAAGATGAGAAATCCAGTCTCCTAAATGAGAGAAGTACCCTGATCTCTCAGCTGGAAAATGTGGAACAGAGACTGAGCAACCTTGAAAAGAGGTTTATCAAACTGGAGGAAAAACATGCTAATATGGAGAAACAGGAAGAATCAACAGTTTCTCAAGTAGAAGAGCTGCAGGGTTCTCTTAGTCTGGAACAACAAGAGCGTGCATGTTATGTAAAGTCAAGCGAGTCTCGGTTAGCATTTCTGGAAAACCATGTCCATATACTGCAAGAAGAAAGCAGGTCGAGGAAGAAAGAGTATGAAGAGGAATTGGATAGAGTTGTAAATGCTCAGGTTGAGATCTTCATCTTGCAGAAATTTGTGAAAGATCTAGAAGAAAAGAACTTGTCTCTGTTGATTGAACGTCAGAAACACATTGATGCATCCAAATATTCAGAAAAACTCATTAGAGAGCTGGAGAGTGAAAATCTTGAGCAGCAGATAGAAGCTGAATTCTTGTTGGATGAAATTGAAAAGTTAAGGATGGGGATTTATCAAGTATTTAGGGCTCTTCAATGTGATCCAGTCAATGGGGTACAAGATTTGATTGAACCAGATCAAATTTCTCTTTCTCCTATTTTGAATGGTATTGAAGGCCTAAAGAGCTCAGTGGACAGGAACAAGGATGAGAATCAGCAGCTGTTTGTTGAGAACTCATTGCTGCTAACTTTTCTTGGACAACTGAAATTAGAGAGTACAGAACTTGAGTCAGAGAGAAGGGCCCTTGGACAGGAGTGTATGGCCATGAAAGAGAAGAATGCTGTTCTGCAAAAAGAAAAGCATGAGCTCCTAGAGACGAATCAGGAGTTGATGTTGGATGTGAGTAAGGGAGAGCTACAGGAGGAAGTATTAAATGCTGAACTGGAGACTCAATGGGGGCAGTTGGTAAATATGCAGAGAACTTATCTGGCTTTACAAGAAGAAAACTCCAAGCAGCTTGAGGAAAACAGACTTTTACTAAAGAAATTTTTGGAGCTGAAGGAGGAAATGCATTCTCTTGAAGAGGAAAACATCTCCACCCTCCAGGAAGTGGTAGCCCTCTGTAGCCTCTCTGCAGTTTTTGAGAGCTTCAGTTCTGACAAAGCTAACCAACTTAAAGCTCTTTCCAAAGATCTCAATAATCTCCATGTGGTTAACGGTGATCTCAAGGGAAAATTTGAGAAATTGGGGGAAGTGTGCCAGAAGAAAGAAGAAGAAAACCAACAGCTGAAGGAAATTATTGAAAAGTTGCAGAAGGAATTCCATGCAGTCAAAGATTTAAACGACCAATTAAACTGTGAGCTTCTAATTGGAAATGATTTTCTGAAACAGAAGGCAATGGAGCTGGCAGAAGCAGAACAGAAGCTTAAGGCTGCAGGTAACTTGAATACAGAATTCTGCATCACTCTTGAGGGGCTGAAGACAGAATGTGAAGAATCTAAAGTGATAAGAAAAAATCTAGAAGAGCAGATTCTTGAACTATCAAAACATAGCAGTGCGCAGAAAAGAGAAATCGAATGCCTTCTTGAAGTAAATGCAGATTTGGGATCAGAAGTTGGTTTACTGCACAAGGAACTTGAGGACCAAAGGGCTAGAGAAGACAATCTGAATTTGGAGCTGGAAGAGAGAAACAATGATTTTGAACTCTGGGAGGTTGAAGCTACATCATTCTATTTTAATTTTCAAGTTTCTGCAATCCGTGAAGTACTGCTTGAAAAGAAGGTACATGAGCTTTCCGGAGTTTGTAAGACCCTTGAAGATGACAGTGCTGCAAAAAGTGCAGAGGTGATACAAATGAAGGAAAGGGTTGACATCCTGGAAAGTGAGGTTGGAGGGTTGAAGGCCCAGTTGAATGCATATGTTCCTGTCATAGCTTTGCTTAAGGAAAATATAGCATCTCTTGAACAGAACGTCCATCTTGGAACAAAGCTTTCTCACCCAGCCAATCAAATAGAGAAGGTAATGTTCCTTACTCTGGTCTGTGCTAAACATAATTCATAATTTTTCCTCTCAAATCACTTTAGTATAATGGTTCCAACTTCCCTGGTCTAAATATGAACTTTCCAATTCTGATCAGATAATTTTTTTGGGCCAGCCTGATCGGATAATTCAATACGCTGATCAACTTCTACCAAAAATATTTGACTATTCTTTCCTCTCTATATAGTTTCCAAGTGTCCTGTTAATGATAAGTTTTACAAGAGTTAACGGCAGTTCCTTTTTTTTCCTACAAGAATGCTGAGGAAGAAGCACAAGCACATTACACCAGAAATCTAGCATGACAAGCAAAATATGATGCATATTAACAATGTCTGTTGTTTTTCTTCTCATCAGGATGGAGCAAGGGGTGATGTAAGTCATGAAATGAGGTCCAAAGAACTCAAGGAATCCGAAATTAATGTTGTGACAACTGGAATTTCAGACTTGCACGAGGTACAGTTGAGGCTTGAAGAAGTTGAAAAGGCATTGGTGGAAGAGATGGATAAGCTTGCACAGCAAAGTATTAATGACAACATGAAATTAGAATCTCCCACAAGTAAACCTGTGTTAGATTCAAGAAGTTCTTCATACCAAGAAGACATAAAGGAGGAAAAAAAAATTCTCCAAGACGACCTTGCTGAAAACCTCAAATCAAACAAGATGAAACCTGAAATTTCTGAAGTGAGGAATGGGATATTAATGAAAGATATTCCTCTTGATCAAGTCTCAGACTGTTCACTCTATGGCACAAGCAAGAGAGCGAATAGCAGATCAAATGATCAAATGCTTGCGTTGTGGGAGTCTGCAGAGCTAGTTAGCGGCACTAATTCAACACCCGATGACATGTGGAAGAAGATAACTGTATCAGTGGAGAATGTTGTTTCACGTCGTCATCATTTCATAGATGTTGAGAAGGAGCTGGGGATTGACATGGTAGAGGTATCTACAAGCAGTAGACAGCCAAGTAAAGGCGCAAAAGGCAGAAAGGTTCTGGAAAGACTTGCTTCTGATGTGCATATTTTAACGAGTCTTCAAACAACTGTCCGAGAGCTGAAAAAGAAAGTTGAGATGCGCAAGGGAAGCAAGAAAGCTGATTATCTTGAATATGAGGAAGTTAAAGAACAATTGCAAGAAGTGGAGGAAGCTATTATGGAGCTGATAAATATCAATGATCAACTAACAAAGGATGTTGAAGAGAGTCCTTCACCCCCAAATGGGAACCCTACTGAACTGGGAGAGGCAGGAAATCTGTACAGGAAGAGAGTGCTGGACCAGGCACAAAGAGGGTCAGAAAAGATCGGAAGGTTACAGTTTGAGGTGCAGACAATTGAGTATGTTCTACAGAAACTGGAACATGAAAGGAAAAACAGAAAGAAAACCAGATTTTCTGGGCCAAAAACAGATGTCCTCTTAAGGGACTTCATCTATATTGGTGGAAGACACAGTGGAAGGCGGAGGAAGGGTTGCTTTTGTGGGTGTGCAAGACCTCCAACCAGTGGAGACTGAGGTTGGGTTACCATACACTGCTTTTGGCTACAAATTCCCTTCAAGATTTTGTTGTATTATATTTGTGAGATAAAATCTTTGTTGGTCAGAGCAAAACCATAGCAAGCTTTTAGAGTACAGGGAAACTTTTAACAATTAGAACTGACTTGATCATGTAATAAGCTGCCTCCAGAACTTTCGGTTCTTGTATCATGTTGAATAGTTAAAGCAGCAAAACTTGTGTCTATCCATGTTTTTCTACTGCTAACCTCCAGGAGCTTCGAAAACATGCAACTCTAGGCTTCCGTTTTTAATTTTATCCTTTTTGAAGGGAACACCATGACTTACAGGAAGTCTAAATAGAAAACCAGGATTAGTTCTGACATAGCTACCCTAATCTGCGATTAATAATATTTGCATTTTTCGTCCAGAATATGAACTGTCCAACATGAACTTGATAATAATGCAAGAATTCAACTGAAGAATGGCAGCAACTTGAGTCGGAAACCAGATTCCAGGCTTCAGACATTCATTCAATTAAATCTCATCGCACTTTCTCACGTCTCCGAGCCCTCAAGACCAACCTCTACTCGTACTGTCAGATCAGCATAATTATTTCAATAATAGATAACCAGTTATATTCTTACAACATTTTTGTGAATTTTTATTAACATATTTCATGTATTATTAAATAAGTGAATAATATATGTACAAAAAATTAATCAATAAACTCAAGATGAAAGTTTTGTATATCATATTAGTTTTTATAAAACTTAAATTTATCTACTATTTATAAAATTCCCATTTGCACCAAAAAAAATTCAATTATTTGAAAAATAATAAAATTATCTCTCAATTAATTCCCTTCTTTATAATAACATAAACAGCACAATGCCTAATCAATTCAGGTATCTCCCCCCCTCCCCTCCCCCCCCCGCCCGGGGTGATTTCCTAGTCCCTAGTTCTCCCGATTAAGAGTTTTGTCGTCCAAGTTTACTGAATGCAATATTAAGAGTCTGTCTAGCATAGTGATTAAAATTCATCGGATCACAAATAATAATAGTGAGTATAACAATTAATAGATAATGAGTGATAAATAATAGATTTTAATTGATATAATTATTTTGTTACATAATAATTAATTGTTATTGTTTATTTTTAAATAATTAATAAAAATATATTTAAAAATAATTAAGTATATTTTTATTATTAAAATTATTAATTTTATAAAAATAATAAAAATAAAAAATAAAATAAACTATAATGATATAATCAAACATTTATTTTTATTTTGAATAATTTTGTCTCATTAACAAATTTTATTTATTAAACTATTATACCTCCTATGGTAAATTAATATAAAATATTACCTAATTTAATATTTTTAATGTATTAGCAATTTTAACTCAATAACCATCCACCAATCACAAATCGTTCAATAAAAACTTTTACCTTTTGTAACCATCCCTTTTGTAACAGTTTCAAAATATACAAATTTACTAGACACTTCTCCTTAACCATTTGAACAAAATTATTAACCATTATACCATACATTCCCTAGTTAGAAGGTCACTGAAAGTCAAGGTTTAACTTAAAAAGTTAAAAGGTTAAATGCTAAATTTGATCCCTCAACTTTAGTGAGTTGCACATTTTTGGTCCTTTAACAATTTTTTGCATTTTTTAATCCCTCAACTATACAAAATGCACTCCGTTAATCCTTCTGTAAATTTGGGCCGTTAAGTCCATCATGTGGCATTTTTTATGTTTTTTTTTATGATATGGCAAAAACAACATTAAAAAGTGCTGATTTGGAATTTTTTTGATGACATGTTTAATGCCAACTCATAAATTAAATTTGTTTAAGATTTATATTTTTAATAAAAAATAAAAAGGCTTAAGTATTGAAAAAGGACCTCAATTTTTACTAAATTTTTAATTGAGGTCCTCAACATTTATTATGCTCAATCAGGGTCTCAAACTCATGCAAACTCTCGAATAAGGACCCAATTGGATGGAATCCTAAACATCCGTTAAGTCTAACATGACTCCCGTTATAATCCGTTACCGTTCAATACGTGGCATGCCAACCAGATAATAAAAAGTATTCTCAGACGTGCCATGTTGTAACCCACATCTCTCAATTTTCTGCCATCTCTCCTCTTCCTTCCCACTCCACGATTTGGGGGCAAAATCCCTAGAATTTTCAGTTTGCTTCTTTTCTGTGCAGGGTCTTCTTCTCCACCCAACAGCAGCCCACCCCGTCCCTACAACTTCTCTACCCAACGGCCGGCCTCTCTCCGTGCAAGTTCTTCTTGTTCTCCGCCCAACAACTGGCCTTTCTCCATGCAAGATATGCTTCTTCTTCTTCACTGAGCAGTCGACCTTTCTCCACGCAAGATCTGCTTCTTCTTCTTCGCCGAGCAGCCAGCCTTTCTCCACGCAAGATCTGCTTCTTCTTCTTCGTCGAGTAGCCGGCCTCTCTCCGTGCAAGTTCTTCTTGTTCTCCACCCAACAGTCGGCCCTTCTCCATCAAGATTTGCTTCTTCTTCTTCGCTGAGTAGCCAGCCTCTGTGTGTGCAGGATCTTCTTGTTCTCCACTCAACTATCGGCGGTGCAAGATCTTCTTGTTCTCCACTCAACTATCGGCGGTGCAAGATCTTCTTCTTCTCCGCGCAACAGCAGCTCACCCATTCCCTAGAAGTTTCCCAAGCAATCTCTAGTCCCATTCCACAAATTGGGGGCCAAAATTCCTAGAATTTTCACTGCCAATTCCTTCCCCATTACTTCGATCTTGATCTTCTTCTTCTCTTGTTTGGTGCTATTGATTTCCTATTAGCCTTCCTTGCCACTAACACCAGCCCATCCAACGGCCAATCACTAGTCCCATTTCACGTTTGATTACTGCAAAGAAAGGAAATTGAAAATCCTAAAAATTGAGGTCAAGGTCAAGAACAGTGCACATGCTGTAAAAATAATAGGAAACACATATAAACATTTAAACAAAATGTAAAAATAATTAAGAAAAAGGTTAATTAAAGACGGAAAGGTTTTAACACTATCAACACCCCCAAATTTAATGAGATACAATAAAAAAATATGTAAGTGATTAAAAATAAAAAAAAGTAATAAATTAAATAAATTGACCAAATAAAATTAAAAAAAATTAGGTGCAATTGAGACCAAAAATTTAAATAAAAAAATAAATTAAAAAATTAATAAATATATTAAAATTATTGAAAAACTCAAATAAAACCATATAATTGTACTTGTATCTTGTTGAATTCATACAAAAATACAAAAGAAAGTTGTTTAAAAGATCCCACCAACTAGTGAAAGCCTCAAAAACTTTTTAAAATTCTCAAAAGTTGTTTTCTATTGACCTAAGGCTTAATTCAATTTTTAGTCTATTAACTATCACCTTGATTTCATTTTAGTCTAGAAACTATGTTTTATTTTTAAGTGATCTATTAACTTTCAGATTCATTTCAATTTCGTCTACTTGGTTGTCTACTTGGTCAACTACTTGGTCAAAGATAACGGAAAACTTTCTATTCTGTTAGAGAACAGTTAGTCCTTTAACTATATTTTTTTTACCTTTTAGTCCTCAAATTTATATTTATTATAAAAATAGCTTGTATACTTAAAATTATTATTTTTAGGCTCTGATACCAGATTTTTATACTTAAAATTGTTATTTCTAAGTGGTCTATTAACTTTCAGGCTCTGATACCAAATTAAAGAAATAGGAAAACCCATATAAAAATCTGGTATCAAAGCTTATAAATAATAATTTTAAGTAAAAAAGTTATTTTTATAACAAATATAAATTTAAGGACTAAAAGATCAAAAAAATATAGTCAGAGGACTAACGGTTCTCTAACAGAATAGGAAGTTTTCCATTATCTTCGACCAAGTAGATGAAATTGAAATGAATCTGAAAGTTAATAGACCACTTAGAAATAAAACATAGTTTCTAGACTAAAATGAAATCAAGGTGATAGTTAATAGATTAAAACTTAAATTAAGCCATTGACCTAATTACAAACAAAAGTTTTAGGGATTTTATATTAAATAAGTATTAAATAGTCAAAGATGGAAAAGTAAAAGGAGTCTTGTGGGATCCACCTTGCTTAAAAGATCTGCCACAACATGCCATGTTGGACAATTTTTTTAATGTCAGCATTATGGGTCCAGTCGGCATGCCACGTGTTGAGGGTTGTAGCGGATTATAACGGGTCATGTTAGACTTAACAGATGGTTAGGATTCCATCCAATTGAGTCCTTATTTAAGAGTTTGCATGAGTTTGAGACCTTCATTAAGCATAATAAATGTTGAGGACCTCAATTGAGAATTTAGTAAAAGTTGAGGTCCTTTTCCAATACTTAAGCCAAATAAAAAAGCTCGACTCATCTTCTTCCTTTCTTTTTTTTTTCTTCTTCTTTCTTCCTCTTCCTCTTGACTCATCTTCTTCCTTTTTTTTTTTTTTTTTTCTTCTTTCTTCCTCTTCTTCCTCTGTTGCTGGGTTCGAGGGAACCCAGATCTGCTGAGTTCCACCGAACCCGAGATTTTCATTTGTTTGGCTAGAAGGGTATTTGGATACTGAGAAAATGTTTTCTATTTGAACATGGCAAAACGTTTTATCCATGTCATTACTTTTTTAAATTTTACACTCCACATCATCAAAAAAAATATTAAAAAAGCCACATATGCAGAGTTAACGACGAAAATTAACAAAAAGACTAACAGTATGCATTTGTTAGAGTTGAGGGATCAAAAAAGTGCAAAAAATTGTTAAGGGATCAAAAATGTGCATTTCTTTAAGTTAAGGGACCAAATTTAGCATTTAACCAAGTTAAAACAAACACATAAAATGCACCCAACATCAAAATAATTAATGATAATACTTTATAGTTATGCCACAAACATGGAGTGATTAATTGTACTCAGCTAAGTTACAAACATGTCCTTAACCAATTGGAAATTCTCTACTCAAAGTTCCAACAAAATCGATAAAAAAAAAACCTCTTAAAACGATATAAAAAAAAACAAGGCAACTAAAGAACCCCTTCATTCAAGCTCCAACAACCTCGGTGGCAGCCTCAGCCATTGTCTCATCAGCAGGCCTCTCCAATTTCACACCAACATCTTCAGAATAATCACCATGAACCTACATATAGAAACAACGGAAGAAAAAAAAAAAATTAGCCATAGACCACACGAGTAAGAATTCCTAGAACACCACTAAGCACACAACATATGAAAAATATGGTAGCATACCTCCATCAATTTTCCAAGATCAAACTTAGGAGCCTTCAAAATTTTGACCTTGCGAATGAAAACATTTTGCAAAGGATAGATGCTGGAAGTTGCCTTTTCAATTTCCTTGCCAATCATCTCAGGAATGAATTTTTGGACTAAATCCTTGAGATCACAAGATGTTGCCTGGGCAGTCATGATCTCGATCATCTTTCGGCGTATCTGAAAAAAGAAGAGAAGCAAACTCACATGGTCACACCCACTAATCCCTTCACTGCATAGAAAGGAAGCAGCATCATAGTATATATCACCTGTCTTATCTGGCTGGATTGTGCATAACATGTTCTCTTGACCTGGTTAGGGCGTCTCTTAGTGAATCCAATGCAGAACAATCTCAAAGTGTAGTTGTCAGTTGTCTTAACATCCACATGAGCTTCAATAAGAGTTTGCCATTTCCTCACCAAAGACCTCAATTTGTCAGTAGTGAAATCCATTCCCTGTAAATTTTTTACATTTGAAAACGAAAGAGGAAAGCAAGTTAAATTATCATTAGCCATACGGCAACCAATTAATTAACAAATAAAGCTGATTCATATCTTATACCCACCCAGAAGTTTGTCAAGACATTCTTTCCTTGAACATCTTCAGCTCTCAAACGGATCTTTCTGTATGCATGATCCTCATCACCGCCTTGAAGATCAGCCAGTGAAATCTCAAACACACGATGTTTGAGTCCTTCAGAGGCAATCTGTCACAAAGATAGATGAGCACAAATTACATGTAGGCTTCATTAACAAATCAATCAGCAATTCATCGGCTAAATGTATTGTTCACTCTAAACACTTAAATATGCCAAGTTTAGTTGAGCTAAAAAATTAGCATGCACAGAAGAAAATGTCTATGCTCATGAATCGTAGTCCACATGTAAGATAGACATCCTTCAACTGTATAACCATGTGTATAACCATTAACAAGTAAAAGCATGGCAAAAACGAGTGACTTCACAACTAGGAACTAGTGACTATAAATCCATGATGCATGCATAAACTTGGTACACTACAATATGTCATCCATCAAGCATTGAAGCAACTAACTGCCTTTCATCCCAAAAAAGCAAAGGCTAATATCAAGCCAAAGCAGAATAAGAGAAAAAGAGAACCCCAAACAAATCGCCAATGTTCCTAACTCTATCAGGTATTTGTCTATGAAACATAAAATCAAAGATGGTACAAAATGTTCAATATTCTGACATAAAAGAACTTCATTTTCTTTGCGGAACATTTTCTCGGCAAACAAACGAGATAATAAAAGCAGAACAGAAAAATAACACACCTTGGTACCCTGAGTACGGGTAACGAGGGTCTTGCCCACATTTCTGGTGGTGAAAACCGATGGGGCCTTGATATCATACCAATCTTTCTTGGCAAACGGATCAACTCTGCACGAAACAACCCACAACACATCACATTAAAACCAACAGATCTATTCGTACATTATCATACAATGAACAGTATTAGATTCAAATTAAAGGGCTTTGTTGATGTTGCTAATACTCACGTCTTCTTCTTGCCTCCCTTCTTTCCCTTCGAAATCCTCTTGTTCTTCCTGTGTTTTTTGCAAAGAAAACGGAAATCAGCATATGCTGAAAAAAGAGAGAAATCCCAGAAAACCCTTTCGCTTAGAAAGGAAAACATTTAGATAGAGATGAAGAAAGGGTGAAAGGAAGTACCCAACAGCCATGGCGGCAGCTCCGAGTCAGGACTTGCTCTGAAGATAGGCGGCTCGGAGACTCAAAAACCCTAGAGAAAGCTGCGTACTTTATATAGCTTTATATAGCCCCGAACTTTCTCTCTCTCTTTCATTGTTGGATTGGGCTGAATGAAATTGTATGCCCAAATCGTTGGATTGGGCTGGCCACGGAGATTTTGCCAAACCCCAACAACAAATCCCCATCCACAAAATCATGCATACTTTATTTTGATGAATGTGGTTATTTGCCTATTAAATTGTTAAATTGTTAAATTGTTAAGGACACATGATATAATTTTAAAAATATTGATTTTGTTTAATTTTATTATTAAAAATAGATTATAATTATAAAATAATTAATATTTATTATCTAATCAATTAAATTTAATTTATAAATTAATATTTTTAAATAGTATAACTAACCATTTAAAAAAACACAACAAATATTAATTAAATCAAACACAATATGTGACTTTAACAATTTAATAAGTGACCATAACTGCACTCTTTCTGATAACATGTTTTTTTTTTTTTTTGGTGTTTCTTCTATGACATTGGCAACTTTAGCATATGGGGTTTGGTTGCATCATAGCACCGCTTTGAATTGAAGGGCAAAACCCTTTCAAGGTGCACTTTACCCGTGCCAACTAGTGCAACAAGTGCCAGGCTGAAATTCATCTGTAAGTAAGTGCTATCTTGTAAATTAAATTTAGGTCTTAAATTTTAAAACCAACAATTAATTAGGTAATTAATTTTTCTTTGAGAGGGCAACTCTGCCTTCACGTACTTCTTGACCTCTCTTCCCCATACTTCCCGCCTAGGCACAAGGTTTTATTCAACGCCACCTGCAGCCTGCTGGTATGAGCACGATCCTTTAAGGAGACTGTCCTGGAGTTTCATTCCTTATAGATTAAGCACAATTGTGTGATATTCTGATGTACTGAAAAAACCTAGTGCAACAAGTGCCAATTTTGACAGCTACTACGTATGGCTCGTGCCAGAGACGAAAAATATGGAGAATATTTCAGAAAATGTGTCTAGCTAGTTATGGCGTGACAATTTCTAGCTGGGTATTGATTTCGCAGTTGATTCAATTGAAAATGTTAATTTAGCTCCTTTGAGCACCTTTTTTTTTTTCAATTTATAATTTAGGTATTTAAACTTTTCACTTAACTAGTCTTATATGTATTTATTTAGGGTAATGATAGGTTTACCCAATTTATCCACACACTTTGTTACACCCTTCAATTTCCGTTATTTTCTGTTAATTACACTTAACTCCGTTACCATCCTCTTCATCCATTATCTTCTTCCTCTTTCTTTCTTCTTCTTCTTCTTCTTTTTTTTTTTTTTCTTTGTCTCTCTCCTCCATCATCCTCCTCCAAAAGAACCCAGGTCTGGGTTTTGCTGGAGAACCTAGATCAGGCTCTGCAGCAGAACGCAAATGCAGAACCCAGATCTGGGTTTTGCTGAATGGCCAAGGTGGATAAAGAGGAAGCGAAGGACCCACAACTGCAACGGTAGGATTCTGAGCAACTTGCTGTTGGAGCAACAATGGCTATTGTTGAGGTATTGTTCCGAATAATGAAGATTGTTGTTGCTGTTGCGATTGCATTGGTGGCTTCTGGAGTAAGGAAAGCAAGAAGTCACCGTTGCTGGGTGTTTTCAGAGTTAATGGATTAAGTAACGGAGTGAGAATGTGTAACGAAGGGTGAGGAATTGCAATGTGTACCAATCATCGTCCATTTATTTATACATTATTCCATTTATAGACACTAGATAAATCTCAAGCAGTGGGTGTAAACATAGTTTGCTAAAATGTTTACACCTAAATGACAATAGAAACATTCAAATCTTACATTTCCTTAAAGCTCCTTATTTCTTATCGTTCAAGTTATAGCTCTAATGAGTTCCCATTTACACTTAGGGTTTCATATTTCTATTTTTGTATTTTTACTCACATATGTTTTCGTTCCTTGAAAAAGGCTTAAAAAGAAAAAAAGGAGTAAACTCTTATAAATTTCTTCATTAATTAGTGTGATATGGATATGATTTGTGTCTAACTAATTTTCTTATTTCCTTTTTATATACAGTAACTTAATATTCTGAAAGATGGGATTAACATTGATAGGCTTGTATTATTATATTTTTGTATATATAAATGGGTTTGAATACTCTTGTACTCAATTTTTAATTGAAATTTCTTTATTGTTCAAAAAAATATACAGTAGCTTAATATACTATAAGAGAGCATTAGCTATTTAACTCCACAAAGAAAGGAAAAGCTCCTCTTAGAGCATCTCCTAAAACTAAAGGATATCTTAAATCTTTAGGCGTCGAAAAGGTGAACTAAACTTAATTTGGTGTGCTGTAAACCATAACCTCAAAAAATTGAAAAATTTTTTATATAACAAGAATACTGCACTAATCACATAATATCTTTGTGTACTAATATAATGATATATAAATATATGTGACTCTTAATTGTAAATTAAATAATAAATTAATTTTTAATTATAAATGAGTGTCAAGAGCATACTAATGTGTTACTATATTAATGAACAACGATATCGCTGAAATAATATATATCTTCATTAAATGAAATAATTTTTTCCAAATATCAGAGACACACAGTTATATAAATAGATAATGATGTAACAACAGGAACCCAGATGAAATTATTTTTCAGCCCAAAAACATAGTACATAAAAGTGATAAAAATAAAATCCGGGATCTAAAAAAGGATAAAAAGAAGAGAAATCCATCCCATTCCCACCGTTATTAATTTCGTATTAGACAAGAACAGCAAATTAAAGTTAACAAGTCATCAACCCTTCACTTTTGCTTCTAATTAATCTCTCCCTGGTCAAGGCCAATGGTGTTTAGGGGGCGGCGGAGGCGGTGGAGGACTTCTAGCTAGCTGAGCAACCAAAGGAGCCACAATCAACACGATTCTTATAGAAACTCTTGCACTCCATCGGTGACCGCTGCAACGGCCTATAAGGGATACAATTCTGTCTATCATCGATGCTGCGCAACTTGAGGCATATCGGAGGTTCGGTGGAGAAGTAATTATAGGAGTATGTAAAATTCTTCAGCCTCGGTAAAGAGCATACGCTCGCCGGAACATCGCCGGACAACTTGTTATGCGCCACATTTAGCTGCTCCAGCTTCTTCATCTCCCCAAATGACTCCGGTAACGGCCCGACAAGATTGTTAGAGCTGACATCAAAGACCGTCACGTTCTTGAACAGTCTTAAATTGTTGTTCAGACAACCAGTCAGTCCACTATTCATGAGAACAATTTGACTTAAGGTTCCAGCCATTTTCGAAAAGCTCGAAGGAATGCAGCCGCCGAAGCCATTGTTGGCGAGGACAAGAACTGATACTGGAGAGTTCCCGAGGTTCTGTGGCAACGAGGACTGGAATTTGTTGTTGTTAATGAACAGAGCATCGAGTTTCAGATCAAAGAGCTGTGACGGAATCTCCCCTTCGAACTGATTGAATCTGATATCAAGAAATTTGAGCGATGGTAAAGAAAAAATAACGGACGGGAACTTTCCGGTGAAGTTGTTGTTGCTAACGTCAAGCTCGAAAAGGAAACGGAGTTCCTTAAAGCGATAAGGAAGGGTTCCCCAGAAGCGGTTGGAGTTGATGTGGAAAAGGGCAAGGTCGGAGAGGAGGCCGAGTTCTTCAGGCAAATAACCGGCGATGTTGGCATGGTTTAGGTCGATTCCGGCGACAGTGGTGGTTTTGTGGGGGTCATTGGGGGCCGGAGCACAGTAGACACCGGTGTATTTGCAGACATCCGAGCCGAACCAATTGGAGGTGAACTTGTTGGGGTCAGAGATGATGGCATGTTTCCATGCTTGGAGGGCTATGAATGCATTTAGAAGCCTTGGATTTGGGATCAATGGAAGATTTGGAGGGTTAAATTGTTGAAGAGAGGGTGTTGTATTCTCTTCCACAGTTTGTTGGAGAGAGGGTTTGGAGAGAAACAAAAAGATGGTGAAAGTGGCCCAAGAAAGGGCAAGACTATTCGAAGATGGAGGATTAATCTTCATTTTGAAGAAGGCTATGGATATGAGTTAACATGGTACTGCGATTGGATATATATAGAGAAAAATGTTGACATGTTCTGAAGAAGGTTGAATGGAGCGATCAATGATTCGTACTCCTTTAACATAATTTAAAAAAAAAAATAGTTAAAAGGGTATAGAAACTTTGACTTTCGTGTTTGCATGATTTTGGGGTAAATTGGAGATTATGATCATATTAAATATGATTAGTTAGCGGAAAACAGATGGGGTTTGTTTTAATTCAAAATGTTGACTATGACGAAGAAGCCAACATGAATATTCATTTCTTCGTCTTCGTCTTCGTCTTCGTCTTCGTGAGACTTTCAATTAACCTGCTTTTTGAGCCCTTTTTACATTGCTGTTTTCGCAAAGGAGATGCACTGGCATGCATTGTCTTCTATAGGGTGGGGTAGGGACGAAATTGGTGTTTTCAGATGATCTGATCTCATTACCAAATACACGCTTTCGCAGTCTTGCCTCTTAATGTTAACAAAGGCCAACCGACACCAATCTACATATAATTTTGTTCATGAATTTCAATATTTAGTACTAGGAAAAACAAAGCGGTTTGCTGTTTAATTTTATTTTAATTCATCATCTGGAAGCAATCCAAGTGCATGTCAGTATATGTATGTTTGTATGTATATAGACACAAGCGTATACGCATACTGCTATAGAATTGCTAATGAAAATGTAATGAGCAGGAGAGGATCTGTTTGAGATTTGGGGTTGGTCGTCTGCAGACCATACCATATTATAGTATAAGAATAGGAATTTTGTGGTTGGAATTAAAAAAAAAAAAAATGATGCAATTATATGCAGTTAGCTGAGTTTCTTATTAAGCTGAGTTTATAATTAATATTTAATTAACCAATAGCTATTCCTACTAAATATTAAACAAAGAATAAGGTCCTGGATTAAGCTTAATTACATAGGGATCATTTTATTTGCTTTTCTTGCTATATTTGCAAAGAGAAACCCAGCAAGAAAGAAAATTGATCAAAATCAACCTCTCATATACTAACCCTGGTGATTAATTAGCATAAAGTGGAGAATAATTAACCCGTCATATATTACACAAAAAGCTTGACTTTAATTTTAAAACAATTTCCAAAGAAATAAGAGTGCATGCCGTTTATTACAGCTCTAGTAAAAGTGAGCGCAGTTGGCTGCATTACTGTTGTCCAATTCAAGAATGCACGCTTGAAGTAATCTCATTTTGTCTTTTGATGTTGAAAGCTTGTTTCTCTAATTCCACTTGCAAATGAAAGGCTTTGTTTATTAGTGCTGTTGTAGCAATAGGCTTTTGTTTTTTATTATCTAAAAATATTTAAAATATTAATTAAAATTAATGAAAATATTAAAAAAATAATTAATGATTATAAATTTATATTTTTAAATAAAGTATTGTGTAAAGGTTTATCAGAAGTTCTAACAAATGAAACCTCAGCAACAAACACACATATATATATACTTGAAATATCAAAACTAGAAAACTAATTATAAAGAATTATAATATGAAGCAAGAAACCATATAGCCAAAATGTAATTTGACAGTAAAAAAAAAAAAAGAGTAGGTTGAATTCAAGTCAATAATGCAAAGGCTTGCTTGGATGGAGAAATTAGATATATGATATAATAATGCATCTATAGTACATATGCTCATATTTATATTTATTTATTGAAAGAACTATTTAATTAAGAATTTTTTTAACCTACAATAGGACAAGTCATAATGTCTTTTTAAGGTAGAAGTTAAGAGTGTTTTTTGATATTAAATATATATAGATTAATGTAAAAGTTGATATTAATTTTAGTGTTAGGTGAATTTAATTAAATAATTAATAAATTAAAAATTAATTTTTATTTTTTTAATATAAATTTAATATACTCTTAAACTATATCCTTAAGATATAAATTAAACAATTTCTTTAATTAAACTTAATTATCAAGAAGTCACCGTCTTGGAAATAATTGAAGGTAAACGCAAGGTCATAATGTCAATCAAGGGCGTCTCTAAGCAATCATGGTTTCACACTGTAAAATCAGGGGCAGGTAAGGGAAGGCGAATGATTACTCCAGGGTGAGAATCCACACGTTAAAACGAGAAGAGGAAAAAGGAGTAAAGCACAAATCCTAATATTGAAGGAAATCAGCTTTGAATTGGAAACTTACTGGTAATGTATATAGGCAAAAACGCTTCAAAAAGATAATTAAACATTTAAACTCTTAAACTAAAAATAAAACAGATAATTAATTAAGCTCTCTAACTTTATTAACAATCCAAATAAACTCTTTTCATTCATCACTATTCAAGCTTTTAAAGTGATATTAAACATGAAATACCATTTGACTTTTTTGTGAGAAATGTTTATTTGTATTATTAGTAGAGTTGGAGAGTTTATTTGTTCTATTTTTAGTTTAGAAGCTTAAATGTTATTTTGAAATAAATTTGAGGGTTTAAGAAGGGTTTTTACCTATTATATATTGAAAAATTCAAACCCTATATGCTTCCTAAATAATATACGAGAAAGTGAAAATCATAATATATTGGTATTGAAAATGTTAAGATTTTTGTGAAATTGATCAAAAACATGTAATAAATTTTGTTTATGTGTTGATTTATTATTATTATTATTAATATTTTAATTGTTAGTATATTGTGATTTTTTAATTTCATTATATAGATAATTTCCATCAGTTAGGAAGTTAGCTAAAACATAATAATCATCATAAGGGAAGATATGTTCCTAGTGAAAATCCTATAAGAAACTAACTTAATATATTCTAAAATGACTTTTATTACAGTTCTAGAATGTCTTGTTCCTTGACCTTACCAAACTTAATAGACCAAGTCATTTATATATGGTGTAGTTGTGAACAATTAATTCGAAAATAAAGTGACGATGAAGAACTTTTCATTTAAAGTGAGACAAAAAGATACGGCCAATTATTTTTGATAGTCTAATTGGAGATACAGATATTGAACTAACATTGACAAAATGATACCATACTAACAGATTTTTCTTTCTTTTTATTGGATTTTTACTGGTAATACCGTAGCATAACGCATCATAGTTTAGTATATATGAGGATAAGAGTTTAGTTCTTAATTAGTAAAAATCTCATTTTGATTCATTTATTTTTAACAAAAAAACTCTTTTCTTAGTTTGTTTACTTAAAAAAATTTATTTTTAATTCTTAAAGTTTATTATTTGACTCTTTTATAGTCCTTCTATTTTTTTTTTCATGTATAGTACATTAAATTATGGAAATTTTAAAGTAGAAAAAAAAATACTATTTTAAAGAAAAGGAATAAAAATGGGGCTTTTTTAAGATTCTTTTTAATTTTTGTATTTTAAAATTTCTGTCATTTAATGTGTTATAAATGTAAAAAATAACAGAAAAATTAAAAAATAATTGGATAATAAACTTAGAAACAGAAATGAGTTTTCTATTTTTTTTATTTAAAATCAAAGGTCTAAAATGAGATTTTAACTTCTTAATTTAACTTCTGGTAGCTTTCTCTTTCTCCTTGATTTAATTCAGGCAGTGGGGTATGTTTAAGGATTGCTGTCTTTGAATTTTAATAGTTTGAATTACTTCCGCAATGTATGATTCTTTCAACTCACATTATAGAGGGATAGAGGGGGTAATGTTGAGAGACTAGATGGGCCAATGAAAAGGAATCTGGTCTCTCTCCAAATTAGTAAATATTGATGTGTGTGTGTGTGTTTTTTTTTCCTGAACTCCCGCTGGTTCCGGGTCTTGGGTCCAGCGCACTGCCCGATGGCATTGTAATATTGTACTGTCTTGCGAGCAACATGATGTGATAAAATAGTCAGGTAAATTAATGTTAAGTAAAACTATTCAATCATTAATCATTAGATTAAATAATTTTTTTTATTTTGATTACATAATAAAAAATAATTATTTATTATTTATTATTTTATTTTATTTATATATCATGTGATTTGAATTTAAAATCTTTCATTTTTAGTGAAAAAAATAACCACTAAATTATTTACGTCGTTGACTGGACTAAATAAATTAATACTCCACAAATATATTGATGTAGCATCTAATCATCGGCAAATAAAGAAAACACCAACAGAAGCTTAATTGGGTCAATTTTTTGTAACAAACTTTTAATTTGGAACTAAGTTTAGCTGTTCAAACTTCAATCTTCAGGGAAAGTTTTTGGTTGGGTAAAACTTTCTCTCTTAAAATTTTCTTAACTTTTTTGTTATTTATATATTTTTACACATTAATTCTATAATAAAAAGATAATAAATGTGGTATTTTTAACATATATTTTTCTTAAGACAATTTTCAATTCGTAAATTTTTCTTTTCATAGTTTTTGAAAGGAAAAAGTTTTTCTCCAACTTTTCTTATACTAATTTTTTACCAAATACAAAAAAAATTAATAATTTAATAAAATTCTAACAAAAATATTTTTCTAACTGCCTTTTTATTAAAAACTTTTTTAATAAAGTTGGCCAGCCTACATGTATCTTAAAAAACAAAGAAAATGGATGGAACTTGGAAGGAAGACCTTTAGAAAAGTAAAAGTTTGTGACCCAATTGACCCAGAGGAAAAATGATTTAGGACCCAATTGAAACCCTATTTTTTTTTTCCACTTTTACTTTTTTCATGGGCCGTGGGCAGTGGATATTGGAGAGGAGAATCTGAAACCGTCCTGTTTTTATTTGGGTTGGGTCTTACTTGATGGCGGTCAGAATCCAACTCAGACTTACAGGCTCAAAGCCCAACACGAAATACATTGATCTCAGAAAGTCTTGACTGAAGAATCTCGTCTCTCTACTGAGAAATGAAAACCCCACCAGGGGGAGCAGAAGCAGAACCAGCTTCAGGTTGCCGTTAGTGCAAAGTCTTTCAAATACCGTGTAGGGGGCATCATCTTCAACAAACCCCTTCAGCAATACACAACAATTCCCAGAAAATAACACAGGAAGAAGAAGTTGAAGGGCCCTTCGTTAGAATCTTTGAAAACCAATGGCAGAGGCAGAGGCAGAGGCAGGATCAGGGAAAGTGGGTGCTGGAGAGGAGGGGATGTCATTGAAGGATAAGGGTAATGAATTCTTCAAAGCAGGGAACTACCTCAAAGCTGCTGCTCTCTACACTCAGGCCATAAAGCAGGACCCTTCAAATCCTACACTTTATAGGTAATTACCAAATTTAAGGCTTCCCTTATTGAATTATGAGTTCATGTTTGATGGGGTCGATCAAAATGCAATCTTTATGGTTTGGTTCAGGTGGGTTTTCTTCTTGTATCTATGTTTGGAATTTTCTTTTAGCGTATAGAAGTGTCTTCTGGTCCTCTGTCACCGGGTTTAAGTATGCCAGAGTTTTGTGGGGGTGCTGGAAAGTTCTAATTTTGAACTTCCAGCTGATGACTTTTCATATGATGCATGAGTTGGCTACTTTGATATTGCTTGGGACCATCAGTTCTTCTCTTCTGTTTTGTTAACTTGACCCAGGATATGTGTTTTGGTTGTATTTAATTAGCAATCATCATCTGCTGGCTAGAAAAGGGAAGTTCACCTTTTGCCCTAGCTAGGTGGTAAGAAATATCAATAGCAAAATTTGGCCAAAAAAGGATTGTGAAATTTGTGAAATTTGGATTGCAAGGAAGAAGTTTGAGAAAATGTTTATAAGAATAAAATATGTTAGAGTGACTTGATCTAGATCCAATAGCGTTTGAATATGCTGAATTAATAACAGCACTACAGATGTCTTACTTCTGTCTTCTGTGTGTTTAAACCATCTCTAACTATCAACAACTGATTGGATCATTGATGCCGTCCCATGTTTGATAACACTTGAAATTATGAATAACATGGTTTATGAGAACTATTTTTTCTTTTCTATCAACATTTATGAGAACTATTGTAGAAGGGACAAACCTCATCAATTCTGAAATGATTTGGCTGGCTAAGTCTAGTCATTTAGTACTTTACGTCTTAATTAAGCTGGGCTTGCTTTTGCACTGTATCTTCCCCTTTGAATATTGCTTCTTCATGTATTCCATTGTGTTTGGATTCATTTGTTACGTTGTGCCAAGAAATACCATATATCAAATATAATTTTCTACCATGGGCCAGCAACCGAGCTGCAGCATTTTTAAATTTGGTTAAGCTTAACAAAGCACTTGCTGATGCTGAGACAACAATCTCATTGAATCCCCAGTGGGAAAAGGTGAATTTATCTTCTTCTTTCTCCCCCTTTTGTCTCTTCTCTCAGGGAACAATTTCTACCCTAGTCTTACTCTGTAGGATATTTAGAAGCTCCTCCTTGAACTTATTTTGGTACATCTCCAGGGATATTTCAGAAAAGCATGTGTATTAGAGGCCATGGAACAATATGATGATGTTAGTTTTTCTTTCCCTTTATTTTCTTGTCTATGACTTTATGTAACTTCTAGGTAGCAGAAAGGGTTTTAGCTCTAAGCTACAGCCATTTCTAATCTGTGCATATTGTAGGCCTTAGCTGCCTTCCAAACAGCTCTGCAATACAATCCCCAAAGTAAAGAAGTATCAAGAAAGATCAAGAGGCTTTCTCAGTTGGCAAAAGACAAAAAACGAGCACAAGAAGTGCAAAACTTGAGATCCAATGTAGATATGGCAAAAAACTTGGAGTCAGTGAAATCTGAGATGGTGAGTTGCAAAGTGTCACAATTTCCTTGTATATTTGTTTGTTTATTTCCACATGGTAAGACTGTATGCTCTCACTACTTTCTGTCAGAATGGTTTATTCTAGTTCTTTTTGTTTGGTTTGATTTGAATTTTGTTTTCCTTTTCCCTTATAGAATTCTTTACATAGGTGAGAATCTAGTTATCTAATTCTATTCTACATATGTTGAGACTTTGTGCCTTGAATAAACCAACAAATATACAAGGAAATTTGATTATTCACAGGAGGATTCTTTTTAGCATACCTCTCAGAGACAGAGTAATTGACTAAATTGGTCTTGCTATTTGCAGTCTGCAAAGTATGGAGCTGAAGATTCTTGTAGAGAAATCTTTTCTTTCCTTGTTGAGACAATGGAAACGGCTGTAAAATCATGGCATGAAACTTCAAAGGTGGATCCTAGAGTGTATTTCCTTCTTGACAAGGAAAAGACACAGACTGATAAATATGCCCCTGTAGTCAATATCGATAAGGTAAAAAATCTCCTACAGAGTTTATTTCCAAACATTTTTCTAGTTGGTTGATTTGATATTATATGCAATTTCGTGGTAATTTTTTCTTTTTATGTCTCCTTTCCTATTGAGGTCAAATTTGGCTCATTTGGAGCATGGCTCTTATGTATTTTTTTGCTGCACATGAATTTGACTTCTGATTTTTGTTCTTTTTTTCACTCTAAATTTGAAGTAATGCATTTCTTTTGTATCAGGCCTTTGAGTCTCCCCACACACATGGCAGCTGCTTTTCATTTCTTAGGCAGTATGCAGAGGATTCTTTCTCTAGAGCAGCTTGCTTAGTCACACCCAAAAGTATCATATCTTATCCACAGGTAATGTGTAAATTATATCTGTTCTAAACAACAGTCGATAAACATATCATACAATGGGAAAAATTATTTAATGCTTTTAGGTGTTATTATAGTTTAAAGAATTATGAGTGCTAGTTGCTATTGTGCACTAGCCAAAGTGCTGGAATATGAATATGAGTTTGCAGTTTTTGAGTGTCTGTTCTTTGTTCTGTAACATATCAGTCTGCCCCAGAGCTTGTGTTTTGACAATTTCTGATGCACTCAAGCTATTCTTGTTCATGATGCTAGTCTAACTTGGCTATTCATTAATTTGTTTGTTGGTTAGAAAATCCAACCCTTCCTTATTGCAATTGCTGTGATCCAGAAGACATTTTATAGAACACACACACACATCGAAATTTTCTTTGAAGTAGTTGAAACATCAGTCTCTAACACAAGTCACAGCAATGCATTAGATTTCTCTAGTCCAAGTCCAAATTTCTTGCTACTTGCTAGTGTAAGTTGGCAGGTTGTAAATGCTTGTCAAGGGAGTAAATAGCTGGCTGATCTGTTTCAGCATTGTATTCTCTAGCTTGGCTTTTCATTCTCTGGTTCCAACACGTGCAGTGTGATCTTATAGATATACATACACATACATACATCTGGTTACGTTGGTTTGGTTTTATTTGAATCACAATAAAAGTTGCATGCAACACAGCAACAGAGAGCTTATGAATGATTAAATGCTCAATTTACAGGTCTGGAAAGGTCAAGGCTCTAGGAAGTGGAAACATGGGCAACATGATGGCTTCTTTGTGCAATTTGAGTTGCCTTCCCTGCGAAAACTATGGTTCATTCCAAGTTCCTATGAAAAGGGGCAAACCTTGTGCAGGTCTCTCTCTCTCTCTCTCTCTCTCTCTCACACACACACACACACACACACACCCCCGCAGAACTTATGAAGCATGTGATGTTAAGATAAGGAATGGAATCCTGCAACTAAGTTCTTGTTCCTCAGATGTAGGCAATTTCTTGCTCTGATGGTCATACACTTTCTACAACCATCTTTGATTTCTTTCAAAAGGTTTATGTTACTTCTATCAACAGTTAAGCACTCTCTGTGATAATTGAGTCTTCACTGGCTACCTTGCTGATTTTCATGAATTTTTAATGCTACCCCAGTGACATTTGAAAATTTCTGTTTCCTTTCGGATCTTTTATGGTAATTACCATACCATATTCTAATACCTACTGACTAGGGCTCTTCCAAATTTAGGACTTGTGGAAGATGCATGCTTTGGGTAGATTTTTCTAGAAAACTCATGAGTGCATTTTGACCTTGATGATTATAGAGATGTTGATTTTGAACCTCATAGAAAAATAAAGATAAGAATTCTTTTCATTAACTCATAGTCTTGAGAAATGAAGTCCAAAAAACTTTTTATATTTCAGGGATCCTGAGTCTCTGGACATTAGTGCCCATGAAGTGCTCCCGTGCTTGTTCAAGCAAAAGCTCTCCAATTCTTAGTATGATTTAGCTTCACTTGTAGCTCATTTGAAGAAAGCCCTTGGCACAGTGGCAAACTACAAGGGAAGGTTCATCTATTCAAAAAAAAAAAAAAAAAAAAAAAGAGAAAAAAACGAAAAGAAAAAGAAGAAAAAGACAATTCCAAGTGCCTATATCATGCTCTGAGTTTGGATACAGGTTCCTTGGATGTCAAGAAAACTTGCAACAAGGTGCTTTCTAATCTATAGCATTCATGTCCTCAGTTTTGAAACCAAGGAACTTTTCAGGCATTTTTTTGTAAATCTTTGTTTTTCTTTGATTCAGTAATTTAATAGTTTTTGCCTTGTGGCCAATATTTGCCTTATGTTGTGTGTTGGAATTGGAGCTAGCTGGTTTTAGGTATGCTGTCTAATGTTGCAACTCTTTAGAAAAGCTCTAGGAAACGACAATTGTGGTCTGTATCATAATTTATGCCCAATTTTTTTACTTGCAGCTTTCTCATTCATTGGGGCTTGTTTTCTAATTTAGTAATTCATAGCAATCATGTTCTCAGGTGAGTGTTGATTATAGGGAAGATTTTATATTGAGGTTTTTCTACCTGCCACTGAGATTCTATTTTAAGGTGGTTTACTTGCCATAAGTAGTTAAGATAGAACCAAGAAGAATATTGGAAGTGATGGAGAGGTGGCTTCATTTTCTTTGATAATGAGGTGACTTAGAATTAATCTGGGAGAGTTCTTTTGATTTTGGAGAATTTAGTATTCCAGTTTTTCCTGATTATTGGTATAACCAGAGTTGGCAACTTGAGATTGTATGATAACGAGCTCTTATGAGGAATTCCAGAAACAATTTGGATTCAATACCGGAGCAATCAGGAGTTGCATCTTTAATTCTATTCCAACTTCTGGGGTATTACATAAAGAAGGAACAGGGATTTTAAGAGGATCCCGGTCAGTGTTGTCAATAGCGGCCATAGCGGCCGCTATAGCGGCATAACGTAGCAGCCAGCTATAGCCGCTATGAAAAATCTCCATAGCGTAGCAAGTGAACAATAGCGACTGCTATACAAATAACAGGTAGCGGGTATAGCTGCCGCTATTTAAATTTCTTGACTTTTTTTTTGTCAAATTATCATGTTAACCCCACATCAAGAGTTTAAGTTAAAAGCTTTCAAGGTTAATTTTGTCTTTTTAACTTTTTTATTTATAAATTAAAGAAAGAAAACCCTAAAATAACTCATCGTATCTGGTCTCCACACGTCCTGCGCACTCCTTTTGACTCTCCTCTATCGATCTACCCTCACAGTCTCGATGCCGATATTCTCTCTCACTTTGTGCACCATCTAGTCTCCTCTTAGTCTCCATCGGCCATAGCAAGAGTTGAAGAGTGCAAGGCAACTCTCAGTCTCACAACTCACCCCTTCACACCTCCTGTAATTGGAGTTACTGGGCAGCGATTAAACATTGATCTGTACATCATATTGTCTCCAATTTTAGGTAATCTTTCAAGTGAGCATTGATCTTACTAGACAACGATTAAGCATGTTACAAATTTTTTTTTTTGGCTTTGGTTCTGCTTTTGCAAGTGTCGTCTCTCTCTTTTTTCTTTTTCTATTTTTTTTTTACACTAGATTTTTTGGCTTTGGTTCTGCTTTTGCAAGTGTCGTCTCCCTCTTTTTTTTTTTTGACACCAGAACAAAAAGTTGGGATTAGAAATGGAAAGTTAAACACAAAAGCATGTGACAATTATTTTTTTTTTTGCTTGGTTTTGCTCCTGCAATTGCGCCTCTGTTTCTTTTTTTTTTTTCTGTATTGAAGCGACTAGAAAGTTTATATTACAATTATACTAGGGGCAAGAGAAATTAGAATTTATACTAGGGGACAAGCAAAAAGAAATGCAACTGCAGTCTTGACCTCCCAAATTTCAGCACTAACCTTTAGAACTCCAGCCACAACCTCTAGTGTTGATGCAGTTTATGCTACTAGAATTAGTGAAGAGGTTCATACTTTAGATCTTGAAAAGTCAAAGGAGGAAGAAGAGGAGTTTGAGCTGGTGGAACAAGTCAGAAAGACAAGGATGATGATGATGATGATGATTTGGTGGCTGAGCAAGAAGAATTAGAAGCAGAAGAGAGTGATGAGGATTATTAGACTCTTGAATGATTTTCTGTTTTAAAGTTCTATTATACTTTTTTCTAAATTGATCTTGTTTGACTTTTGTACTCTTTAAGTATTTTATTGTCTTGTTTGATCATTCTAAACTATGATTTTTATTTGTTAAGACTTGATAATATTGTTTTTTATAATTTTTGATAGTTTTTATAAACTCTTAGGTCATTTTATGCCTTTTATTATTAGATTTGTCTCTTACTTTAATTGTTAGATTTATATTTTTATTTTTTTATTAAATGCCTGCTATTTGTCGCTATGCTACCCGCTACGCTACCCGCTACGCTATCATAGCGGATTTTGGCCTTTCTGCTATTTGTTGCTATCCACTATTGATAACACTGATCCCGGTTTCAGAGTGAACCATGCAATATCATATTTTCTTCTATGGTATTACAGAAATTCATACTTCTACATATCCATAAAATATTCACTCTTCTTCTTTTGATCATATCAGAGCAAGTTCCCTTATCATGGATAGTCACTGCACTCACAGTCATTCTCATTATGTATTACTCACTCCATTGATTTGATTGACCATATATCAGACATTATCTTGTGCATCATATTCAACTGCATTTGTATTTGATGTGCGTGTGTGTAGCATAAAGTTGCATGCTGCTACAGCTTCTCCTATAGTCAGATAGATCCATTCCTGGCCAATTTTCTCAATGAACTTGGATTTGTCCAGCTTCTTGATCACCTCACTTCGTGGGTTTGCCAGTACAAGCTGAATCAGAAACAACATGGTAAACTGGTAAGCATTTAAGCCAATTTGTTTCCAAGATTTTGTAGATTTATTAGTATATTGATTAGAATTTTGTACCTTTAGACCTTTTCTATCAATGTTTTTCTTGACCTCTTCGAGCATGCTTACCCCGCTTGTATCAATGCTACCGACGACTGTAGTTTACATGTATTTCATTCAGTATGGGAATTGGGAAATGATCTTCTAAATGATACACTTGTAGAAATTAGTTGTGTTTCCTTTTATGTGGCTTACCACTCATATCTAATATGACGTAGTGTAAGCTTGCTTCTCCTGAAGATTTCAACCTGTCTTCTTCCTCATAGATCCATCTGGAGATCCTGAACACAATCAGCCGGGAAATATGAATGTTATAATTCTTTTCGCCTTCTAGAACATCTTAGCTATTGGCAGCTTTAGTTTTGTGCATGTACCTTTCTCTTAAGTAGTTTGCATTGGCAAAGTAGATGGGTGCATCAATCTGAAGTATGAGAACCCCAGGAACATTGCTTGCATTCGGGTATTGATCGATACTTCTATAGATTCCTGAGTTTGGAATGATGCCTAGAGCAAACGTCCTAGGTCTAGCCACAGAGAGAAGAACCCGAAGTAAGGAAACAGTGACCTGCATTTGGAAATTCAGATAGTATGAGTGATTTTCAATTCAGGATTATGGTTAGCATTTAGGTAGAAATCAAGTCCACTCACAGCAATGATTAAGCCAATCTCAACGCTGCCAAGGACAACACCTAGGTAAGCACCCATGCAAACTATGAAGTCGAACTTGTCGAGCTTCCAGAGGTGAATAGCAGCTTCGTAGTCTATCAAACCGAGCATGGCAGCTATAATTATGGAAGAAAGCACCACAAGGGGAGTGTAATGAAACAGTGGTGTGAGGAACAGCAGAGTGAACATCACTGCCGTTGCCATGACAATGTTGGACACTGCACTCTTGCATCCTGCATTGAAATTCACTGCAGACCTCGAAAATGGCCCTGCAATGATAAATC